GCGGTGCTGTGAGAAGAATAAGCTGTGTGCATAGCCCCAACCAGGTTTGTGTGGGCTTCAGTGAGAGGAGTTGTGAACAGAAGCCACTAAGACAGGCTGTCTTTGAGGGCGATGGGACTAATGTCCAATGTGGATTAGTAAACGGGAGTCCCCCCCCCCCCCACGATGGGGGTATGTGGAATAGCATCTTGAGGTGAGTTTCCATTAGATTTAGTATTGGTACACTTGAGTTTCCATTTGATTTAGTATTGCTGGAGCTTCCTTTTGAGATTTGGAACTGAGTTTCCATTTCATTTAGTATTGCTGGAGCTTCCTTTTCAGATTTGGAACTGGGTTTCCATTTGATTTAGTATTGGTAGACTTGAGTTTCCATTTGAGTTGGTATTGCTGGAGCTTCCTTTTGAGACTTGGAACTGAGTTTGCATTTGTTTGAAAACTGCCCACCATCAAACCCACAAAGGGGGTAGTACTTCAAGCCCCCAAATTTTAAGCCCAAGACTTTATTCCAGGGGCCCCTATACTAAAGTCTTGATGCATGGTCCCCCCCTGAAAAATGCAACTTACCTCTTGGCTAACTACCTAGCCAACTTCAATCCCAGGTGATGCTGGTGAAGCTCCAGCAATACTAAATCAAATGCAAACTCAGTTCCAAATCTGAAAAGGAAGCTCCAGCAAATATAAGAAAACTTGAGTTTGGGCAAGGTCTGCAGTTTGGATTTTGGGGAGAAATCAACAAGCTTCACCAGCATCAGCATCAGCTGGGATTGTGTGATTTTTTGACTTTTTGTTTGTTTAATGGGCGGGGGTGGCAGGTCCTTGTCTTTATTCCAGGTGCATTTGCTAATCCTGTTGGGCCCCCCAGTTGTCTTTATAGCGCGTGCATTTACTAATTCCATTTGGACATTACTTGGCTTCAGACATGAAAAATCCTCGTCTCTGCGACAACTGTGTCTGGCGGTTGATCAACAAGGTCCTTTACATTGGCTCACCATTGGAGACACCAGCAAAAATGATGACTTGCACCACCAAATGGGAAGAGTTGTCCATGGTCATGTTGGGCCAGGAATTTTGTCCAACCCCCATTTGACTATGGGACACCTGTGCAAGTAGACAAACAACTACCTTTCCGTTTGGCCCAAAGGCTGAGTGAAAATTGAACCCTGAAGGTTGGCAGCATGGCTTGAGCCGAGGTGAGTGATGCGTGGAAGCGGATCCAACGCGCCTGACGCTCAAAAGAGGTGTAAGCGGCGGGCAGGTGAGCACGAATTTGTTGGTTCCATGTGAGCCACGTCCTCACAACCCAGGTGGATGAAGGTCAGTAAGGGACACTCGCGCAAAACAAGTGCGGCCGCCTTGGGAATTCTTTACATGGCTCTGGGTGGACCATTTTAAGAACCGCGTGTTGATTGTGTCTCATGTGCTTTTGCCGAATGTAGACACGCCGGGAAAGTTGATGAGGCAGCGATACCAAGCTGGCCGGGACACAGCTTCGACGCGCGAGCACACTCCCCGGAGGTGAGGGAGGGTTTGCTTTTGGGTCGGAAATGGATGAGCGAAGGAAAAGGACGAATGAGGCAGTCAAGACATGAATTGTCAAAAGTAGGGGCCCTTTTTGGTATGCACGTACCGGCGGCAACAGGTCCCAAAAGTTTGACAACACCCCACATGGCCTGGTTGTTCTTGCCCCAGCAATGGCAAGGCGTTCCATGCAAATCTGCTTGCACAGACGACACTGACGCCACGCGATCGCATTGCCAGGAATTGGCCAAAGATTCGCCATTGCCAGGTGGGAGAACTTGGCAGCATTGAATGTAGGCAGTAGCAGAGCCAAAGGCTGTGCTCACGGGATCTAGGGGGAGCTTTTGCGTACTGATCTTGCTCCAGCTTGTCCCCAAACATGACCAACAAGACAAGTGTCACTTGATGTCCAGAGGTTCATGGATGGTACCAAACAGCGGGACTCTGATTTTCCTGTCCATATCAGATGTTACCTACCAAAAAAATACACATTAAAAACAAAAAAGCATGACTATGTTTTTCTCCCGGCACTCCATGTATCACGAAAGTGGGCTCTCCCCCGGCGCCTTCGCTCCCCGCGTCCCTTGAGAGGTGCCCAAGCGGCCCTGGCCACCTTGACCCGGGAGTGGGAGGTGACATATTTGTCCGCCCGGCGCCCGGAAGCGTCCGAAACGGCGCAAATTTGCCGGATGCAGAGGTGGGGGGGTCCCCCATGGCGTTTCGGTGATTGCTTTGGCGTCCCTTTAAGAAGCCACAAGACACACTCATGTGGGGATGCAGTCGAAACGTGCCTGATGGCTGGCTTCGAATGTTGATGTTGCGTGCGAACGCAAAAAGGGTGAGTCGTGATCCACAGCCAGGTGCACAAGAAACATAATGCGACAATGAGTCGAGTCCGCATTCGTCGGGTTTCTTGTAGCCTTTGGGTGTTTTATTTCCACTCCTTATAGCTGACCAAACCTAAATGGCTTCCTTTAATTGC